ATATATATATATTCTTTGATTATTTTAAATATATTTTAATGTTATAATATGTGGATTTTTTTTTAAAATATTTAAAGAAATCAAGAACTATATATATTATAATATACTGAGTATCGTTTTAACATATTGTAATATATTTAAAATTCTTTAATAGATTACAAAAATTAAAAAAATTATATTATAAATTTATTAATTTAATTATTTTTTACGATATATCGATTTAGAACAAAAAAAAAAAGCTATTGCAATCCGACTAAAACACAATTATTGATAACTTTTTAAATTGTTGATCAATTATTTAATTGTGTTTATTTAAAGTAATATAATCTTATGTCAACTTTAATAGTTAAAGTAATAATCCAGTCGAACTTAAAATTATGCTTATATCATTTTAATTGTTTTAGAAAGTTATCAATTATTTAATTATATTCTTGAGAATACCCCAATTTACTTTTGATTTTTTTAATTTGATTTTCATTTTAAAAAATTTATTAGATATTTTATAAATTGAATTAAATCAAACTAATTAATATCGAATTGATTCAGATAAATAAAAAAAATATGAAATCTAAACAATCTAAATTAATTAAATTGAATTGATTTAAATTAAATTTTTATCGAAATTTAAACTAAGTCAACTCCTAATCACCCATATTTAAACATATAAGAATATCGTGACTTACCTGCGCTATAACTACTATATAGATTAAAATGCTATTTATATATAATAATTATTATTAATATTAACTACTTATAAAAGAAAGTTAACAACTATCAAATATTTCAATAACCATAAATAACCTCACAATATTAAGCACTTATGAGTATTAAGCATTTTAATAGCATCATAACTCTATTAAGCACATGCCGACAATAGTATATAATCACATTCATTTACTATATATTATTAATCACTTATAAAAATTAATTATGATTAAATATTTAATAATCTCTTAATGGTATTAACTATGTATTTATAATTTTATATAATTATATTTATTTATTCTTAATAACTTATAAAGCAAAATTAATTATGTTTATAAACATAAGTAATGATGAGTGTATAAAGTATGGACAGATTTCATATTATTTACTTCATTTAGGGTTTACTTAAAGTATTTATTTAAAAATAGTTTTTGAGCTTACTTATTTGCAAAACAAATTATCCAGCAATGTAATAATGAATAAAGTTAGTTAAATACAAGAGATAAGGAGAGAGATTAAGCACATAAGTTATATTAGTTCATCCCAATTGGATTATATTCGATCCCCCCACAATTTTGTGGAATTTTCATTAATCACAATCAACTAATATTCAACAAAATTCAACCACCTACTGAGATTTCTTTACTCAACCACATGTTGAAAAAAAAAAAATCTCATCATCACTTGTTATGAGATTACATACACCTATTGTAGTTCCTTTCTACTTTTGTACACCTCTGCACACTTAAATCTAGGTAAGAATAATATTTACAGAAATGGGTTTTGTGTTCTTGTAAACTGCTAAGATCACAATCAGTTATTCTATGATGAAATTTTCTTTAAGGAAGGTTCTGCGCTTCTTTTTTCTATGACAAGATTGATACAAAATGATGAAGTGGAAATCTTTAAACAAATGAGAGTATGAAGCAAAAATTACAGTTTGTTAGCCTTGTATTTAATTTCTCTTTTCGATTTTGCTTCCTTCAAGTGGTGGTCTTTGTCTTTCCTTTGTAGGTGCTTGATTGTGGGTTGCTTAGTTTTTAAGCATATGCTGACATTATAGTATATTACTTTTTCTAAACCTGCTAGTTTTTTGTACAAATGAGATACTTTCTAAGTAGGTCTTTACTTCAAGTATTTTGAACAGGGTCTTCAATACAAGTCTTTTGAGAAACTAGGTTTTTAATTGAAGCTTTCTAATTGACAACCAAAAGTGTTGATCTTCTGAACCAAGTCTTCAAGACATCTCTCCTGATCAGAAGAAATGTTTAATTTGAATCTTTTTGAGATAGATACATATGTCTTGGGAATATTCTTAATTGCTCAAGCCCAAATATTTTGATCAATTATAAGTATTTCTGAAACACTTAAACAAAATTATTAATACACATATGAAAACTTTTTTATTCTAAAATTTAAAACTAAGAATTTGTCATTATTAAAATTTATATTTAGGTAAGATTCAACAAAATACACACATTCAATAAATGACATTTTAGCTTTTCAATATAACATTAATTACCTATTTTTCATTTATACTCTTAATAATATATATATTTTCAAAAAAAAATTGTTATCTTACATTGTTTTTAATAAATAAGATTAATTACAAGATTAATTTTTTAAATATTATTAGTACAATAATATTTTATCTATTTATTAATTTTTTTATATATATAAAATAACATATATAGGACAACACTTATTATGAGATGGTGAGAATAATAAATAAATGAAAGGAAATAATAAATTTACAAAATTAATTTTGTTATATTCTTCCATGTTATTTGAAACGATGCAGGACAACTATAATTTTATAAAGTAAATATTAGTAAGAATGTAAATAAATAATATAACTAATAATACGTATTACATTAAAAGTGAAAATATACAAATAGTTAAAGAAACATACTAACAAGTGTTCTTAAAACACTAGTTAATTAATTAAAGAATTAAAAGTAAAAAAAAAAAATTTGAAAAATTAATCTATACATTTAGGTAGTTTTGTCGTAATTTCAATAGAGATTTTCTTTAGGACTATAGTTAAAAGTTATTTTTATTATTAGCAAATTACTTAAACAAATAAAAGAAAAACAAGTAGGATACAGGAGCATGATTTTGGTTCCGATAATCTCTGTCATGTTAATTACTGCACTGCGTCATGCCATCTCTATCCATCCATATCCTCTCGCTATTTTAGACCCCAACTATTCCATACTTCCACCACACAACACAGCTAACTAGCTCACATGGAATCCCAAGATGAACTTACCCAACCTTTGCTAGAAAATTCAACGCCACCACCAGATTCTCGTCTGGAAGAGGTTCTATCAGACACAAACCTGCCATGCTCCAAACGCCTCCTATCAGCCACATGGATCGAACTCAAACTCCTCTTCCCCCTCGCTGCACCAGCCATCGTCGTCTACGTCATCAACGGCCTCATGTCCAACGTTACTCGAGCCTTTGCCGGCCACCTCGGCAATCTCCAACTCGCTGCTGCCAACCTTGGCAATAGCGGGATTCAGCTCTTCGCCTTTGGCCTAATGGTATGCATACACATCATATTTCTAAATAAAACAAAAATTTACTTTTATATATAAATAATACCTATAGTTTTTTTTTTATTGAATGTAAATTTAATAGTTGTGTTTAATGATAATATTAATTAAATCAAGTATATATAATTATAAAATTGTTTGATAATTTATTAGATAACATATTTAAAAGAATTTAAATTATTTAAAATTTAATATACATATAATTATAAGTGTAATGTTATTAAAAACAAGAGTTAAATTAATATTTTATTAATGGGGTTGTGTGACGCGTGGTTAATTATGGTTGCAGTTGGGCATGGGAAGTGCAGTGGAAACCTTATGTGGCCAAGCGTACGGTGCTAACAAATACGAAATGTTAGGAATATACATGCAGAGAGCTATTATCGTTCTCACTGTAACTGGAATTCCCTTAACCCTGGTTTACATATTTTGTAAACCGCTCCTGCTCTTGCTGGGTGAGCCACCTGAGCTGGCATCAGTTGCGGCGGTATTCGTGTACGGTTTGATCCCGCAGATATACGCTTACGCGGTGAACTTCCCCATACAGAAGTTTCTCCAATCCCAAAGCGTGGTGGCACCCAGCACTTACATCTCCGTGGTCACGCTGCTGTTGCATTTCGTGCTGAGTTGGGTGGTGGTCTACAAGTTGGGGTTTGGGCTCATTGGGTCGTCTTTGACGCTGAGTTTGTCTTGGTGGATCATTGTGGTGGCCCAGATCTTGTACATACTTAATGCCCCAAAGTTTAAGCATACGTGGAATGGGTTCAGCGTTGAGGCCTTCTCTGGGCTCTGGGATTTTGTGAAACTATCGGCTGCCTCGGCGGTGATGCTGTGTTTGGAGACGTGGTATTTTCAGGTGCTGGTGCTCATCACTGGCCTCCTTGATAACCCTCAGCTATCTCTTGATGCCATCTCTGTTTGGTAAGTTATCTTAAATTAATTAACTCAATTCAAAGACTCAAACAATTCTTCAAATAAAAACAAAAAAACTAAATTATATTGTGAAAATTCTAATGTCAAATTAAACACGTGCTTATATTTTCATACCTTTCTGTACCGTCCACCGTTGAAGGAAAAAAGCACTAGATGAGAGTGAGACCACTTGCACCATGTGTAATTTTCTTTCTTGTTGGCTCGTCAAATAGATTTGGAAGAGGATGCCAGTACAAAACTGATTTTTTAAAGTGAAAATTATTTACTTATTCGATATAACAATAACTCATAATTGTTACGATAGATTATTCACTATTTTAGAATATGAATTTAGATTAAAATTATTTAGATCTATTTTAATTTTACAAAATTTATTTATAAATTATTATGATTATATTAGTAATAGTGGAGGTAAGATATCTAGGCATGACAATCTAACCCATCATCATAGATATTTGCACGAACCCATCCCGATTTGAATGAGAAAATTCGTGTTTATCAAGTTGTAGTTTTCTCTGATTGATAAGGGGTGGGGGCCAGGACAGAGATTAACATCCCCGTCCCCGCTTAATAATATAATTAAAAAGTTATTTTTTTATATATATATAAATTAAAATTATAAATATTTATATGTAAAAATTTGTATTATTTTACTTTTATTTTATTTTTAAAAAAATTTATTTATTTTTAGAAAAAAGAAAAAAAAAAAGATAGGAGTAGGTGAGGGGACTAGGCAAGAAAATCCGAATCCCACCAGAAATGGAAATAGATATCCAAATTTTACTCCTAATAAATATTGATAATAAGAGTGATTTAAATTTGTAAAGACAGGAAAGGTAAACGTAAAACTCGCCGCTGCCCCAGTCGCTAAAATATCCCCCATGATGCTTGGGCCTTGTAATTTCCGCATGCCAGCTAAAGATATCCCCCATGATGCTTGGGCCTTGTAATTTCCGCATGCCAGCTAAAGATATCCCCCATGATGCTTGGGCCTTGTAATTTCCGCATGCCATTTTTTTTTTCTTTATGTTAAAAGTATCTCGATGCACAAAAGAGAAAATCTATGCAGAGTACGGGCACTTTACTCTGTTAAAGTTCGTTGGGTGTTTGCCTCCAAAAAAATATAAGTTGGTCGGATTGGGTCACTGCAACTGCTTTTTTAATCATATTATTCGTACAATATTTTTATCACATTTTTATTTCTCTTTTTTTTTTAACACATTAACTATTTTATATAACAAATTTTCTCTTTCACTTTTTTTTATTGTATGATAAACAACACGAATTATCTCTGTGAATATAGTTTCTCTTATTAAAATTAAATGACATTACACAAAAAAATTCTCCTACAACTCAAGCGTACGTGAAGAACAACTAATGACCAGTTTTAATATCTCAACACAACTAACTTACAGAGAGGCTCGTACCTTATGTTAGTTGAGTAATTATAATACCACAACATTTCTTTACAGTAGTTTTTGGAATTGAATGGCGTTTCTGGAATGAATTGAAGGAAAGAAAGTGAGGAGTAAGACACCAACAAACATGTAATCAACTGTTTGTGTGAGAAAATTAAAATATAGATTACTACTTATTTAATAGTGGATAGGATTAGGAGTAGAAATAAATGTACGTAAAAATGAGAGAAAAGGGTGCGAAAAAAATTTAAAGAAAAATAAATAAAACAGTGCCAAATATAGATAACTCATTTTGTTTTTTCTTAACTCGTTATCAGCTGTTCAAACATAATATTAATATCAAATTCTCAATGTAGTTTAAATATTCATTTGAGCCTAACAGACACTCTTAGTTCATTAGTTTATGATGGTGATCTATGTTCACTTGTGAGTGCAGCATGGCAATAGCAGGATTGATGCTGCATATTGGAATTGGATTTAACGCAGCTGCAAGGTTAGAGTACTTCTCCATATGGTTATGCTTTAATTAATGAAAATAAAAAAAATGATAGGTTTGATTATTTAAAACAAAATAGATTGAAATTGAAAGATGTATGCATGCATGGGTGTGATTGTAGTTTGTGAATACAGTGTGCGGGTGAGCAACGAGTTGGGGGCTGGACATCCGAAATCAGCAGCATTTTCAGTAATTGTGGTGAATATGGTTTCTTTGATAATTGCGGTGATAGAAGCAATGGTGGTCCTTTCACTTCGTCATGTTCTGAGCTATGCATTCACAGATGGTGAAACTGTGGCTAATGCTGTCTCGGATCTCTGTCCCTACTTGGCCATCACTCTCATTCTCAATGGCATCCAACCCGTACTCTCTGGTAATCAATCACACAATTTACATAATCATGCCATTCATTAGCTAATAATTAGGGGAGGCAAAATGAACTAAATTCAACTTATAAAAATTATACTGAACTTAAAAGTAGTTCTCATGAACTGAACTGAATTTAAATATTAGTTCAAACGAACTGAACTGAACTAGTTTTTTGTGTCATTGAACTAACTTAACTATACTATAAAAACTTAAACTGAACTGCAATTTAAACTGTACTGAACTGTTATAATGTTTTGAATTGAACAATTTTGACTCATTGGTCTATCAAAATAGGACACATTTGACAACTTTACTTTATTTTTCATTTTATTTAAATTTTTCAAAGAAAAAAAATATAAAATTAAGTCAAACAAACTCAGTGAATTTTAAGCCTAAAAATAAGTAGTCCAACATAGCTCAATTAATCCGTTAAGTTCGATAAAATTGATACAATTTTTTTATCACTTTTTTTCTTCTAAAATTTTGGGTATTAGACTATTGGGTTATTTCATTAAGACATTAAATGTTAGACACATTTTATTTTTTTCATTTTATAAAAATAGCTCCATTTTTATAATTCAGTTTAGTTTTATAGTTCAGTACAATTAACTTTCCAACAGTTCAGTTTAGTTTAGTTTTTTTTTAAGCAGTTCAGTTCAGTTTTTTATAGTACAGTTCAGTTCAGTTTACCACCAGTTAGTTCAGCTTTTTTTGCCCACCCCTAGTAATAATATATAATTCCACATTTTTATTGTTCAAAGGAGTGGCCGTTGGATGTGGATGGCAATCCCTTGTAGCCTATATAAATGTGGGCTGTTATTATGGGGTTGGAGTTCCTGTCGGTTGTGTCTTGGGCTTCAAGTTCAACCTAGGCGTCCAGGTAATGAATTCTTCTATTCGGCCCATCAGTATTTTACATACTAATTAAGAAAGAAAGAAAGATGAAATAACTCCAAAAAGAGGATAATGCATGAAAATTAAAGGTTAAATTATATTTTTTTTCATCTTCTTATAATATTTAATATGTAATTTTAGTTTTTAATCTCTAATTATGTAATTTTAATTTTTTAATTTTATAAAATTTACAATTTTGATTCTTTCACTAAATATCTATCTATATGTTAATAGTTAGAATTATAACATTAGTTATAATTTGACATTAATTAGATGACATAATAATTAATATTAGAATTAATTATTATTAGAATTATTTAAGTTTAATTTCACTTTAAAAATGAAAATGAAAATTGTAATTTAATTTAAATATTATTAAATATTAAATGACATGTCATTTATTTAATATTAAATTAATATTATAATTTTAATTATCACATTTGATGAAAAAGATTAAAATTACACATTTTATAAAATTGTGGAATTAAAAATTGAAAGGTTAAAATTTCGGGTCAAAGAATTAAAAGTATAATTTATTCGAAATTAAACTTACCTTTAATAGTTTAATAAGTATATTAAAAAGAATTTTATATGAAAATTTCGAATTAGTTGGTTGATATATACTTGGTTATACTAAAAGTAGAGAGACTACATTGGAGGATGTTTTCATTTATAAATCCCCTCCATCATGTATTTTTCGTTTGTTACTTGCAGATTCTTCTGTTATTCTCCAAGTTAATGTTTAGTGTTCTGGGGTGTTAACCCCCCTTGTTGACCAAAAAAAATATATATACTTGGTTATTTGTACGGGCAAGGTCGAATGTAATATCAGATTTAGTGATTTATTATGGGACAGATAGGAAGATAACCTTCCAACATAGGAGAAGAAAACCTCACTTTGATCTATCAAATTATAATTGATGAAAACTTTGATTTGATATGTAATACAGGGAATATGGTCTGGCATGATCGGCGGAACAATGTTGCAGACCCTCATTTTATCATGGATCACACTTCGCACCGATTGGAATAAAGAGGTAATATTAGTTTCTTCATAATTAACTATGTTAAACGTCATCATGATTAAGCATTATCATTGAACATTAAACTTTAAAAATCTCTTGAAGAAGATCACTCCGTCTCATTTTATTAATCATTTAAAATAGTGCACGCGTATTAAGAAAATAATTAACCGTACTAATTTTGATAATATTATCATTTTATAATAATAGTTAATCAAAATTAAGCACCAACACAACATGAAAAATGCAGGTGAATAAAACAAAGAAACGACTGGACAAGTGGGAGAACAAGGAGTAGCCTCAAGTCCAAAGTTGAAATGGTTCACAATGATGATGAATGGAAATTTGAAGAGGAAGCTAATGTTGATGAAAAGATCGATTATTGAGTTTGAGCAGCCTTAATGGGATGGTAATAATGTTGAATTAGTTGGATGAAGTTTAAGTAATCGAATTTCAAATGCATTTGATATTTGATAATTTATTTTTTATGCCAAAATAGAGGAAGAGCTTGATTGTGATATTGGAGATGATGTTATTAGAGGTTTGAAGATGATGTTATCGGAGATTTGGAGAAATTAATTATTTTAAAAATGTTTTTCATTTTAAGAATTTTTTTTTTTATGATTTAGTGTAATTTGATCTTATTTAGAACTTGATTGTGATATTGGAGATGATATTATTAGAGGATTGAAGATTTGGAGAAATTAGTTATTTTTAAAATGTTTTTATTTAAAGATTTTTTTTAATGATTTAGTGTGTAGTTTGATCTTGTTTATGTACTATCAAACTTGATTATTTTCTTATTATAAGAATGAAATGTTGAATTATTATTGTAATAAAAGTATATATTATGTTTCATGAATATAAGTTATTTGTAGCTATTTTAATATTATTTTTATATCAGGTGAATTTTTACGAGTCTACCTAGCTACACGAACTTAATTTTTAATAGCTTGACAATCTTGCGCTCAACCTTTACTTCTTATTTCCTTTTGAGTTCTTATGCTTAAATTGATGCTTACACATCCTTGATTTAGATATCTAGGTTACTCTCTTGAGGGTCACAATTTGAATTAAGGATGAGTTTAAGTTAGGTTAGTTAGGTTGGACTCAAATTATTCTTATTTAAATTTGATTTGATTTTTTGTTTAATTATTTTTAAAAATTAAAATTGGATTTGAATATGCAAAACAAAATCAGATCAATTTAACCTTATTATACTATATTAACTTTAACATTATGTATAATTAAATTATAAAATATAAAATATAAAATTTAAATTAAGATATATTTTAAATAAATTATTTTATTATAAATATAATATCATGTTATAAAAATATTAATAATTAAATAATTTTTTATTATTAAAACACAATAATTAAAAGATATTATATTTTTTTTAAAATATCATATATTGAATTGAGTTTGGACAATCCGTAACATAACTTAATCTTTCCTAAAAATTACTATAAATTGAATTTTAAAGTTAAATTTGTTCCAATCAACTTCAAACATGACGGTTTAGCGGTCAATTGGACCATACTCACCTCTAGATTGAACAAAGAATTACATTTTATCTTGCATCATCTTCAAGGAACACACTTGAAAACTGAATTTGAAACACACTTCACAATTCTCCATTTTATATCTAAATCAGAAAAGCGACATCACTGAACTAAAACACTTATATGGTATATGTATAAATAAAATATATATTATAAATAGTATAATATAAAATTTACAAATTTAATATATACTAGTAGCCCTTGATGAAATACCAAATTAATTACCAATACAATGAATGACCAAGCTGATAATTAATGAGACCAGTTCTAATAACAGGAAAATGAGAAAGTATCCTCTTGTGCACACACTAACAACTGAAGTTAAAAACTGCGTACAAAGGTTTGTTTTGGTTTCCAATCCTGTCTCTAACAGTATCGTCTCCTAAGGAGGATCCATTCTCAGTTTTCTGTATAGTGTCATTAGTCAAAGTCATGAAAATTGAAACCATGTTCACGAGGCATGAGAGCTGATAATATTCATGCCCCACAATTGACTCTGGTCAGATTCAAACCCACCAAAAACGTGAAAGCATGCTACCCCTTGATAAAGGTGGGGTGGGGTGTTGAAAGAAAGAGTTGTGCTTTTCAAAGATTTGTGCTATGCATGAACACAACCTAATTTTGTTGACACCACTTAATTAATTGTGCTTTTTTTTTGGGTCAGCCAGTTAATTAATCCGTTAATCAGTGTTATTCAGGAATGCTCCAAGGAAGGAAACATGTATTGATACCGAGAACGAGGCATTTTATTTGAAAGAAAGTTTGCAGATCTTTGAAGAATCCAAAAGTGTTAAATAATGAAGGTTTTCCTAGTGAAAAAAATTGCAAGTATCTCTCAGGGTCTTAAACAGGGTCAAAACTGCAAGTTACCGAAATTTTCTCACAAGGGACAATTCTTAATTGAGAAAATACGAAAGATGTCCCAAGATTTACAAGCCAGGCTGGGTTCTTGGGTGCAATTGCTTGCAGATACGTGTACACAACCAATTATTTAATGGAGGGTAGTGTACACAAGTAGTTGCTGGGTCACCACGGCAGTGTAGTGGAAGGTGTATTTGACGAGTTGACTCTTTTCTCCAATAATCACCAATAATTATTGTCATTAATGCCTGCACTTACGCCTGCACTTACTTTCACACCTAGTTTTTTTTATTAAAAAATCAACTTTAGATCTTAGAAAGAAAGAATCCTATAACTTGCAGCCATGTTTACCGGGCAAGGGTTCAAATTAAGAATCAAGACTTCTACTAGTAGTAATCAAGTTCATGTTCCATATATACAGAGAATATCCAAGAAATAATGTACATTATCAAGAATTAGATGAGAAATTCATAGCTGCAATAAATGATACACGTTTAATAATATAAGATAAGTCCATCTTCTTGAGCTAATGCCTAGCTAACCTTCTTAGCTTAGGTAAATAAAAGAAAAATATCAATTAGTCGGGGGAATTTAATAACTCCTACTTACAAGCTATAACCTCCTAACTTTTACAGTTGAATAATTATCACTCTTTCGGTGAGTTTGATCAGAGTGACGTTTATTTCTTTTAGTAAATTTCCCAAGTTAGAAGATAATTCTATTTATGGTAATGTGATTGTGGCTAATCCAAAATTCTTTTAGACATAATATATATTTTACACAAAATTTTTACTAAATAGATGATATCCACGGTGTGCCAGCTAAAATACCTACCTACTATGCCAATACATTGTTGCAAAGTTCTTCTTTGTTGCAAAGATCTTATTCGAGGAAGCTTGTGATTGTCTTTATTAATATATTATCGGATACAAGTTGAGATAAACCAGACATTGAATTAGAAAGTATTTCCCTCATGTCATTATTGTACCAGTACAACGTGTTCCAGATTTGATGTGGCTTAGGATGTTATTTAGTGTGTACACAATGCATAATCAAATAGCAGATGGGAGCTGCTACTATCAGAAACTTAACTACTGCACCGCCCACACCCAGTTTCATAACATGTCGTTTTCATTATTATTACTCATCAAATTTGTGTCTGTCACTTGTGCATATCTACATCAGCGTGTGCATCATTTCAACACTCCTTTACTTCAAAGTGTTGTTTCAATGTAACTAAAAAGAATAGGAAGAAAAGGATAATTTTTTTAAAAAAATTTTAATTAAGTATTTAAGTTTTTTTTAAAAGTTTTATAAAATGATATGGCTGCAGTGTGTCAGAGGGAAGGAAAGACTTTGCTGTCATGGGAACCAAATTTCACAATTTTTCATGCTACAAATCATCTCTACATGATTTTCTCACAAGGCAAAAGGAATTAATGGAAAATGATAAGGGATGGTTACTAAGGAGTAATACATGAATTTTTTTTCGTATTGGAATTTTTCTTTTAAAAAAAGTACAAAGATGAACCACCTATCAATATATTTATCAAACTAAACCTAAATATTGTGCATGATCGCACAGTCTCCACCCAGACCCATATTTTAGAATTTTGGTCTCCTGAAATCCGAATTCTGTGCAGGTTTATATTTATATATATATATATATAT